GTAGCCCGGCCCAGATGGACCGTGCCCCGCTGAGGTAGCCCGGCCCCGGCTGGACCGTGTCCTGCTGAGGTAGCCCGGCCCCGCTGACCGTGTCCCGCTGAGGGAGCCCGGCGATCTCTGGTGTCCCTGGTCCCTGGCAGCCGAGAGCTCCTACGGCCTACCTGCACTAGCCCAGCAGCACGTATCGAGGGCGTGGGTTCAGGTCCTCACGCGCCAGGGGTCGTGTTCAACAGCGCGCTGCGGTCAGGCGGGAGCCAGCGGTGCCGCCCTGACCGCCACATTCGCCAGAGCGAGAGGCGCCGCTCAACAGACAACACGACGGCGGCACCAGTGTTACCAGGCACCAACCGCATTAACTGGGAAAGAGTGGTGATTTCCCGCCGTCCTGCAGCTTCCCCACTGGCCCTTTTGTCGCCGGCTCTCCCATGCTCCACGGTCATACTGAGCCCGTCTGGGTGAGTTGAGATGTAGTGGTTCTCAAATCACGCACAAATCATCCAACATTGGCGGGCACCATCTACTAGCGAGCCATTTCGCTCTCGCCGGCTGAAATCGCCGCTTCCAAGGGGTCTCCGTCCATCGGAGGTGGCGCCTCTGTAGCAGGCAGCGCTGCTGAGCCTCTCGCTACAATCGCTCAACGCCAGATGGCGATCATCGGCCGCGGCAGCCGACACGGCCCGCCCGAAGACCCCACGAACCGCGCATGCCCGGGGCGGTCAACAGATAAACGGAGCGACAACCGGCGGCCGGCTCCGGTTGCAGACGCGTCTCACTCGGCGCGTCGGAGGCCCGCGCGGCGCCGCCGCATCTCCTGGCCGCCTGCCAACATCAGCAGCGTGCACCCGCTTAGCTCTGTTTTGATATCAATGGGCTTGAGCAAACACGAGATAACGAGATGGTGGGGCCTTTCCGCCATAGATCTTTTACTGGTGCATTGAACGAGCCAGGCCACACATTCTAGTTTTGACGAGGATGGAGGCCGCGTCATGGATGAGAGCGTAATGCCCGTGCACCGGTATTCAGGAGTAGGTTTAAACCAAATCGTGTTCTGCATTCCGTTCTCCCTGCGGCCATCTGACGCTGTACAAATCTATTTTAGTATTACGTCTTCTTTGTGTCTCACCGGCTTGCTGCATATAAAGTGAAGTTGAATAGCGCACTCCACTGATCCCAAAGTGCCGACATCTGTCATCTGATTGAACGCACCCTCTGCTCTGTGCCTCCATACCCGCTGAACGTGTATGCAGATGAGTGAATTCCTCTCCAGTTCGAACCAAACAGCTGGAAAAAGCTTGCATCTGGGATGACGACGGTGATGGAAGGGGGCGGTTAAGATAGTGTATCACAAGCCGATATACGCCAGTTTGCTAGACTTCTACAAACATCGTGCACAGCAGGAATGCATGAGTGTTTTGTAAAATGCTCCGGTCAAAGTGAAAAGCTACCACACTTTGTGTTCGATGAGGCGCACTAGCGTGGTATACAATATGAACGCAATCTTGTCAGCTATTTTGCCGTTACCGAAATATTTCATCGATGTGTGATCCGAACGTACCTTATTTGGTGAATACGGCCCAGACCAAACTCCACTCTATCGCATCAGCTGGCGCGCGCCGCGTTGAGGGTCGATCACCATTGCACCGAATACATAACACCTAACTTAACACCAGACGGCAAACACGAAATCTGGC